GACTCTGCACAATAACAGACAGTAACTGTTAATGATGTCCACTGCTGAAGTTCAAACCAAGCATCAGACTGGGAAAGAAAGACTTGCTAGGTTGTGCATTTTGATCTACTGGGATTTTCCTGCACATCCATCTCCAGAGTTTACAGAGAATAGTATCCACTGAGCAGCAGTTCTCTAGGCAAAAATGCTTTGTTGATGCCAGAGGTCAGAGGAGAATGATCAGCGTTGAGCTAATAGGAAACTCAAATAACCACTCGCTATAACCAAGGTATGCAGATGAGCCTCTCTGAATGCACAAGTGAAACCTTGAAGCAGATAGGCTACAGCAGCAGAAGACCACACCGGTTGCCGTTCTTATCATGCTCATTGACGTGGGCTCACCAAATCACACATTAGAATAATGGGAAAATGAATAACGTGAAAACAGTGACCCATCCTATCCTGTCTCAGCAGTTCAGGCAGCTTGTGGTGGTGTAATGGTGTGGGAGATATTTTCTTGGCCCCTTAGAGCCAACTGAGCATTAATTAAACACCTCAACCCACCTGAATATTATTTCTGACCTCGTCCATCATTTTAAGACCACACTGCACCCATCTTCTGAAGGTTGCTCCCAGCATGTCACAAAATCATCTCAAATTGGCTTCTTGAACATGAGGGTTAGTTAGAGTTAACTGTACTGAAATGGCCTCTACAGTCTGCAGATCTCACCTTTTGGATGTTGTAGAATGGAAGATAACATCACGGAAAATATGCAATAACTGTGTGATGCCATCATGTCAATATGGATCAAAATCTCTGAGTTGAATCTGTGTCACAAATAATTAAGGCAGCTCTGAAGGCAAAACGGATGCCAACCTAACAACTGCAAGGTGTGCCTAACAAAGTGTCCGGTGAGTGCTTGCTGTGGAGTGAATTGTACATTTGCTTTTAATAATACAGCTTCTAAAACAGCAGTATTATTAAAATGAGATTGTGAATGTTTTTTGTACTTGCTGCCACGGTTACCGTTACTATTAACAGCACCACTCTTTGAAATTTACACTAACAAAAAAATAATAATTAAATTAGATCCACAATTTTTTACCCTAATATGTTTTCAGGTTACATTTTCTTAGTCTTGAGACCAGTCACGTTGAAAGGAAGTGTGGCTGGTCTGTGTGTTATTCCCACATTACGCTGTCACACTCAGCTGTGTTAGGCAAGGTTCTCCTATCAGAGTCTCAGAGCAGCTTTCCAAAGGACTGACACAAAAGCAGGGAGTCATAAAACATTCAACATCATTCAAAGTCTCCTCTCCCATGCACGCTTAGACATTGTGACAACAAGAGTGTCGGTCCAGGAAGCACACTTCAGGAAATCTTTTTTTTTTTTCCTTTGCTTTTTTGAGAATAATGAAATGTAGATGGGTGGAAAAAAAACTTGTGGGAAAAAACGTTCCGTCTGACACTTTTTACTGTCACCCATTGTCTGCTGAAGTCGTTCCAGTAAAGCTGTAATCTCATACTTTGTCAAGCGTAAAGAATTTTGTATTGGTATAAACTATTTTAAGTGGAAAGAATGAACGCACATCCTGTTTTTGGGCGTTGTTGGGCAAATCGCGTTCATTCGGACGTGATTAGATACCGTAGGCTTTGTTAACATTTGCAATCAGCTCCTTATGCAGATGCATCTTTCAGAATGAAAGTCTGCCCCCTGAAGTGTGTCACTGTCGGTGTTAATTTCTCTTCTTTATTTTATTTTGCATGAGGTTTTTAAAATGTAAGTGTGCCTTTTTTCCCTCTTTTTCACCTACGAGAGCACACAGCTGCGAGGCAACTCTGCGGAAAAAAGAAACCCACAAAAATAGGTTACCATGTGTTGAACTGTTTAAGCTCTGAGCAGTGGGTTTGATGAATTACAAGTCAGTTAGCCCATTTTGCTGACAGAATGCAAATTTATTTATGACCCTGAGACTGAAAGAAAATGAAATCATCATATATTTCCAAACGCTCGTGCAGTGTTTTAGATTAGGCAGAATCTATTTGGGATGGAAACACATTCAATGAATAAATTCTCTTTTGGAACAACTCTACGGTCAAAATTGCCGGGCTTTCTCTTAACAATCGAGTCCTTCCACTTACAAAGTGTGCAGGGAATCTCCATGACAGATCATCTTAATTTGAGGCACATATCTCGATTCCTCCGAGTCGGGAGAGGTGTACTTTGAATCAAAAACACAAAATCAACTTTAATTTTTGGAGTGTCTGCGTTTGATTTATAGTCATGGAATAAAATGTGGCCCATTTCATATGATTTGGTGGTTATCCCATTTTACATTTTCATCAAATCATATTCTCGGGCCATATCTGTAAAATTGAGAAATCATCAGAGCTGAAGTGGTGGGATATTGGAAGTTCAGCTTCATCAGCAGTCTGTGCTGCTGAAATGAGAGACCTTCAGTGGGCTCCTTCATCCCACCCCCACACCGCTCTCCCTTCACTTCACTTTCTTCCCTTCTGTTTTTTAAACTCCCCATTTCTCGCTCTCATTTGGTTTTGCTCCTCACTCAACTGCACAAGATGTGGTGAGATCACACGGAGGCTATTTTATCTCCACTTGTGTGAAATAATTTAATTAAACAAAGTCACAGCTATGCCTAGCATATCCAGATCATAACATTTTTACTAGTGTATTGAGAGCTGCAGTAGATACAGTAATAAGGAGTCGTGTTTCTAATGCAGCGGCGATGATGGCTTTTAGAGAACTCGTAGATAACCTGCGCTTTAACGTCTTTAATGTGAACCCTAAGTATAGCCCTATTCACTGTGATTTCATTAAGGTCGGGGGAGTTGGTCATTTATTTATTATAGTGAATATTTTAAAAAAGAAAAAAGAAAAACACTCGATGTTATGATGTGAAGGCCTTACATGTTGTTCCGACACTACTAGGTCTTATTTGGCTCCAAATTAATTTCCCTAACCCCATATCAATAATATTTAATTAAAGTGATACACTATTGATCACCATACAGTCATTTTTGCATGGTAATGAATGGTTAAAGTGCTGTGGCATGCAAATATGAACCCCAGTTTAATTCTCATTGGACTGCATCCTTATAAGTGGTTTGCAATGTAATATGCAATCCACTGATGGCTTATTAAGATCTTTACAGTCATTTAATCTGAGACTGTGGTCAATTATATCTCTCTAGAGTAGCATTGCAGTTTAATTTGATATAAACAAAACAACAGGCTGTGAAGCTGTGGTCATGATGGAAGCTGATACACCCTCCCTCACTCTCCACAAGTCGGTGCTGAAAGGGAGACTGGGTCCTGCGTTGCATCCTCCTCCCGGGACTTCCTGCGTTGTTTGCAAACAATAAATAATATTAATTTCACACTGGACACCTTCTTCGGATCAATATTTATTGACTTGGTGATTCCGTCCTTAATAGGGTGCATATCCTGGGGAGTGTAATTGTGCAATTTTAGGGAAGGATGCCCAACAGTTTATTAATCTGTAAACAGCAGCACGTCACGCCCAAGTTTCCTTATTTCTTATCAAGCCATCAAAAGCGGTCGCGTAGCTGCTCTGAAGCAGTCGAGGTGATACAAAAGAAACGATGGCTCCGTCTTGGTTTTGCAATTGACTGCAGGAGAACAAGCTGCAACGAGTCTGGGGATATTCTAAGTCAAGCCAGTGGTGGAGAGAAAATTAATTACAACACCACAGATCGATGAACAACTGAATGTGTCAACTCTCCAAAGAGCTGTGATTGCTCATTGTAGTCTGATCGAGGGAGCAAAAGAGAGAGACGCTGGATCCAGAAGACTGTGGAAGAGGTTATGACCTGCCTTGACTCGGCAAGCTGCTCACCACGGCAAGAAAACACACTAATAATTCGTTTAAGCACATGTAGCAAGCCCTGCTTCTTTTTAAGAAAATAATATGACCGACTGTGCATTTATATACAGTGACTGGAAGAGGCAGTCTCCAGCTTGCAGCGTCTGATAGGACTCAGAGCAGATTAGCAGAATGAGAAAGTTCATTACGAACAACCTCACAAGTGACCAAAGCTGAGTCATTCCCCTTCCATTCAGCTGCTGTACATCTGCCTTCCCTGGCCCGCCACATTCACGCTGCCTGTCAGCAGTGGATAGTGAACCATAGGGCCTTTCTTTATTTCAGCATGTGCGTGCATGTGTCTGTGCTTTGTTCTGCCATTCCGACTGTGACTCTGACCTTTAGCGAGAGATGCTGGATAGAGAGAAGGTCTTAATGAGTTTGCATAATAGCTGAGCTATCTAAGAAATCATCCATCTGCATGAGCCCCATAATTAGCTGGTAAGACAGTGGTCCAAGTCCTGTGCTTTCACTTATCATTCTGCTGACTAGTATGTGGGAGTGGAGAAATGGATAAACAAAGATACACTCCCCACCACCACTTCCATCACCACCCCCTCCCCTTCTGAAGTGTATTAATAATCTGCTGTCGATTTTTGGCAGCGTTGTAAAAGGCACGGCTGAAGAGTCTGATAATCACTCCACTGACACCCCCAGAAAATGAGGAAAAGCTATCTGGAACATAAGTCACATCCTGGTGTGAGTTTGCTGACAGGTGTACGCTCTCACGGGAGTGCTAATCCTCGTGCTTCTTCGCCCATGTTTGTCCATCACTGATGCACACGCAGACGCACACGGACAATCCAGAGGCATATGTAACTGAACCTCAACGACATGCAGATGTGATTTGTGTGAATCTGTATGCAAAGCACTCATGTGATTCCTATCCTGCATAGCTGAATGTCATATCCATCATTTTCATGTAAGGCAGAAGATGTGAAAAAAAAGGAAGAAAAAAAAAAAACCAAATTGCGTTGATGTGAATGAAATCATTTCCATTTTTATGCGCATTTTCCCAGCGCGTGGTTAGTTTTGCGTATTATAAGATATGTAAATGTTTGTCTAAGAGAAAGCAGTAGGGCGCGCTCAGGGCGCTCCGATCCCAGCGTGCAGGCAAAATCCGTTCCTGGTTTTGCGCCTCCGTCCATCGCAGCTTATACCTTCCCCTGACTCTAAGCACTTCAGCATTGCTGTGCAAGCAGATGTTCTTTCTCCGATGCCAGTTCTCTCCCTTTTCGCATTTGGAGAAGGTATTCTTTCGCGCGAAGGCAGCAAAGTGAGAAGAAAGAAAGCAAAGAAACACCCTCCCCTCCTCGGCTCCGAGACGGAGGGAGAGTTGTGAACGGATAGCTGCTTTTGGAGAAATACAGTAGACTACAGTAAGACCCGCGGAGGCGAGAGCGAGGCAGCAGTTTATTTACCACACCTGTGATGCGTTGTTCTGAGCAACGAAGACGCACGACCGGGATACTGATGGCCACGCTAAGGCAGGAGGATATGTGCTGAGGAAAGGACTTGGGCGTGAGGGGAAAAAACAGAACAGGCGTGAAGTGCTACAGAGGACACTCTCCGGACCTTTAAAAAGCCCAGTGTGCCCGTGTTTCGTCTCTGCTCTCTGCCTTTTTGTAAAACTTAGGTGATAGAAAAAAAAACCCCCACGAAGATGCCCTTACTTCTGGGCCCCTTTGTCCGCTGTAGGCTCAGCGCCACGCTCCTTGCGCTCTGGCTCGTCCTCTCTGGCTTCACCTGCACTGGTGGTGAGTTGGGCTGCAATTAAACTGTTTCTGCTTTTTATTATTTGTATTTTATTTGATTTATTTTACTGGTAAACAGTTTGTGTTGTGTGTTGGAAAACCTAGAAGGCTTGCACGTGACAAGTTGTTTGCTGGTGTTTTTGTCGAAATTCCGGTGCGCACGTTGTTGGCGGTCGTTATTATTCCCTAATTTGCTAGCACCAGCACTCGTCAATTAGCCTACACCTTCAAGGTTACGGGGGGGGCGGGGGGTTCAGACGTGACTACCAAGGTTAAAACTTACAGACAAATGCCAAATAACCTCGTCCAGCTTTCTTCTTCTTCTTCTTCTTCTTCTTAAAATTCGAAGCAGCAACGAGAAGTTTATGGCACGCGTTTTTATTCCTGCTGTCGTGTAACTTGGGGCTTACACCTGCCTGAGAGAGGGGGAAATCAGAACTATAATAAAAAAGATGATTTGGGCAGACACGGGGCCCGCGGACAATAAAAGCTCGTGCCCAGTAACGTCGCGCTCCTTTCCTCCTGCCACATAAACAACCTTCAGTAACGCCACCCTCGTGATTGTCTTATTAAATCTCCGAGCTCTGTGTGTGTGTGTGTGTGTGTGTGTGTGGAGGACACCGTAGTGTAGTCGTCACAGCCTCTCCGCCTGGCTGCAGACAGCATCGTTCAACTCCACGTTTCTCTCCGGCCAGGAGTCATTCCTGCTGCATTTGCAGTATGCTGACAGCTTTACTGAGTTGGTAGACGACCTACTCGCACTGATGAGTTAGATTTTATGATGTAGCTTGGCCAGACGTTCCCCGATTGCATGCAAATGCACTAAACAATCATCAACAAGCGAGGTGGACTAAAGCACCGAGGATGGAAGTTTCTCACAGCAGCAAAATCCTTTTTCGAAAAATGAGCTATAAGATACTCTTACTCTTTTAATATTGATTTTTTTAAAGGAAAAATGTTCTCATGATCACAACCAGCTGTGCAAATGCCTCTTTCAGTTTTGGACAAATCCAACTCAACCGAGTGCTGTTCACTGACCCCTAATATTCACCATGGTGCACAATCAAACCAGCCATCTAACGTCCACATTCGTTATTCAGCCAATGCAGTCAATTTCACTGTTGCTCATAACGCATTATTTCACAGTTCGGCACTTGGACTGTTTAAAGCACTTTATTTAAACATTCCCTCTGATGCTAAATATCACCCTGACTGTGCCACACAGCTGGAAGCTGCTGGTGAGTATCCAAAACCCAAGAGTTTCCGCACACCATTTGCCTCGCGCTCGTATCCAAACTGTTAACCTTGCTTTGGACGGAAGGCAAAACATGTTAAAGTTGCTGTATTTGTGTCTTGTGCTTCAGGACACCGAGATGATGAATTCAGCGGGCTTTTTTTTCCCTCCCTTGCATTAATTAGGGTATAATTATGAATATATTAGGATTAAATAAACAGTCATGCTCGAGGGACCTCCATATATCAAGCTAAGTAAGTAGCAGTGTGCTGGCATTTACAAGTCAGTTTGTGATTCATGTTGGAAGTGATGTGTTTTGATGGGGTTCCTGGGTTCTATATGGGTGGCGTGGTGGTTCAGCGGCTTAGCGCCATTGCCTTGCAGTAAACTGTTTTGGTGTGGAGGTTACGTGTTCCTGCCGTGTTCATTTGGTTTCCTGTGCGTGCCCTGGTTTCCTCCCACAATCCAAAGACCGGCGGTTGTAGGTCGATTTTCAAGACTCTGAATTCCCAAAGGTGTTTGCAGTTTCTTTGTTCGCTCGGTGATGGACTGGAGCTCTAACCGGGGTGTTTCCCTGCCTGTCACTCACTGCTTTCTGGATAAGGCTCACAGCTTTCTCATGACCCCTGAAGAGAATATATTATGTATAGAGGGAGATAGATGTGGGGTTAATTGTGAAATTTCTTCTCACTTCCCCGTTCTTCTGTCTTTCTTTTATATCGCATTTCCTTCCAGACCGCTCCTCTCCATGTTTCAGTCTTGTCACTACATCAGGTCAGTACAGGCAGCCCTCCAGGCACCTATCGCAGCTTAGTGGCCACTTTTTTTTTCTTTTTTCTTTTTTTTTTAAGGCTAAAGTGAGATCCAGAAATGAATCGGAAGGTAATTTGGAAGCCAATTCTTTCGACATCAGGACTGGGACAGACTCGGCCGAGTTCAGTCGAGCTGTCCTCTGTAGCGAGGCAAAGAGCTGACTAGGCATTCGTCAGTATCAAAGCCGGCTTGTCTTTTTTGCAGGGAAACATAACTCACTCAGTAATAAAGGTAGGCCTGTCAATCTAAGTTTGAGCTAGCTGAGCACTTTCCCTTTCACTGTGTTGTGAGTGATCTGACGGGCCGGACAGAGGGGGTAGGTACGCTTTCAGCCTCAGGAACAAAGAACCGTTCTGATTTGCCAGTTTGTGTGTGTATGTGTGTGCGTGTGTGTGCACAGCACTTGATGTTTTCAGTATGCAAGGTGCATGTGTGTTGTTTTTGTGTATGTGGGAGGGTGTTTCCACAAGGATTTGCATACATGCATTTCTGCTGTGTGTGTGTGTGTGTGTGTGTGTGTCTAAGGTGGATGCCTGCAGATTAGTCCAATTCCTGTTCCTTCTGTGTTTTACCCTGTATTCAAACTTTGGTCTGTTGCCTGTTATTAATGTCCTGTTAGTTCCTGCATGCAACAAGAATCAGAATTATTTGTTTGTTTTTCATCTGCCCAGTGAGAACGTTGCCAAGCAATAGTTGTCTGGTTCAGCGAGGGAGCATGGGATTTGGTATCAAGCACCTTCCTAGTTGTGCGAACAGTCACCTCAGAGCAATTTCCACGGGGTGTAAACCTTGTGCTGATGCAAGGGGATGGCCATTAAACGACAACAACCACAAGTCTGTTGCATAATACAGCAATTTGTGAGTCCCCGTTTCTTAGTACAGTATTGTAAGGGATTCTCTTGCCAGATGTCTCTCATCATTCTAATGTGAATCATCCCAGAGTTGTCTTTCTCACAGCCAGTTTTGTCTCTCCTCATTGACTCACTAAAGAATGCGATAAGGAGAGCGAAAGCAGAAATTAACATAATTTATTGGGGGAAATTGCCTTCTGGTCAGAGGAATTTAAAACCACTTCGTTTTTGTCCCGTAGCTAATGCATGGCAAATGATCGCCATGTATTTGCAGGGATATGGTCTTTTACGGGGAAGCGATAATTTACAACCAGAAAGAGTTTTCGTTCCCCGCAGTCGTGGGAGATGAATACAAATGACACAGACAAAGGGGGGAGACTTGAACAGTGGTGGGAGGGAAATTTTTGTTTAAAATTATTTTCTCAACTGCTGATACACGGTAAATTAGCATGATGTACAGATGCAGAACATATCAAGCGAGGAGGCAATTACACCAAGGGAACGGTAAGGAATTAAAACGAATTCTCTCTTGAGGAGTACACATGCGTGCGATGAATTTAGCTCGCAAAATTTGAATTGGATGATATCAAAATGACGGAGCAAGCTGGATTGCTTGTTTCCGAGAACGAGCGGATCAAATGTATTGCATTATTATTCACTTTTAATCATTTGTTTGCACGGCAGAAACGGATGAAATGAGTTAATCCCTTTCCTGTCCAAGTCTCGCAAAAGTCATTTTCTCAGTTTGAGTTACCGTGATTAATGAAGGCTGAGATAATAGTTCAGAATGAATGAATAAAAGGTAAACAGTGCACGTCAACAAGGGTCAGCTTTGAACAGCGGAGGAGCACGCTCCATTTGGTGACAAATTCCCAAGCGCCTTATCTTTCAACAGGCTGTGTCCCTACACTTATCATTTGCAAATGGCTATCTTGAGGAGTAAAGGAAGGACACATGGAGGATGAACCTGAAAGAGGGGGAGGAGTTTGGGTTTATTTTCTGCAGTCTGTGCAGAGGCCCAGTGAAGGCACTACATCTCTGTCAAACTCTGCCCTTTTGTTTCAATTACCCCATTTCTATGATTCAGGTGTATGTGAGAGCACTTAGGGGTTGAAGTTGGGCTTTTTTCCCCCTTGAAATTTAGCACGCCATAGTTAGTATCTGTGGTTTTCTATCTAGGTAGCATAAAACTGACCTTTCACCCCTGATGTGGGATGAGATTACCCTGTGTCCTCAATGGAAACCTGGACAATAATTCACAGAAGGTCACAGCATCTGACAGTGTACTGTATCAGCAGTTTGTAGAGTGTGCTCAGTTTCTACTGTTGTTTCTCCTGCTAATTGTCCTGTAACAGCAGTCTATGGGGGCAGAAATTGCCTCTTTATTAAGAATCAGCCAACTTTTTGGCAGATTTGATAACCCCTTGTTATGTTTTATTGCTAGAAGAATTTGTGGTAATTTCCGTGGGAAGAAAATCACGGTGGTCGAAATCTGTGGGCTACATCTGCCAGTCATCAGTTAATTTCCTGTGGTTACCACTCCCATATCCTTTAACATCAGTGATTCTAACTTTGCACCCATCAGTTTTGTGGTGTTTTGCCAGTGTCAACGTTTGAGCACCGCCTCTGAGGTTGGTGGAAATGAGGAAAGGAGTGCAGCTGGTGCTGTGCTGGTGGAAAAGGTTAAGAGGCTGTTAAGTTGAATCCCGGGTCTTTCCCTGGACGTTCTAATCAAATGTTATTTTCCCTGGAACTTTTGTCTCTCACTTCCTGCATCATGAGGGGGAAGGAGATGTAACACAGAGCTTTAACCTTTGATGCTGATCTGTTCTCTTGCTGTTTATAAAAAATAAAATAAAAATAAATGTGAAGACCCGTGAATATTTATATCCCAGAAATTATTCACAGTACGACATTTTTAGTGCTGCCAGTGTATTTTGTAGTTGCATTCTCCAGAGTTTCTTGACCATGACTTTGGTGACTTTTATTTAACCAGACTACAGATGGGGCCATCCAGAGCTGTGCACCCTTACTGCAAATCTGCAGTAAGAAAAATTAAATGTGAGTAGAACATGAGTACCGCTGAGGCTCTTCTATCCACACTG